CAGTAAATTGGTTGCGGATATTCCACAACATTCGCATTGCATTCACAACAAAAACACAATGCTCTGATACTTTGATAAATAACGATAATGTTGTATGATCTAAAGTTATGTACGTACAGTAAATTTATATGGTAATACTAAACCAAAATTGGAAGATTTTAATAATAATGACAAGAAAATCCTACTAATCGGTCAACTCATTTTTATAATCAAAACTTTTCTTATACGTATTAGTCATTGATGCATTTGAATTTAATTTATGTATTTGTTTAAATAAAAATCATTCAAAAAAAAAAAAAAAAAAATTTCTGAAATAAATCATCAAATGAAAACTTGGTTATCAAGTATATTGAAGTTTGAAAAATCAAACTTATTCGACATCACGTGATACTCTCAATTGATGAGAATACCCTATGTATGTACGACTCAATTGATGAGAATACCCTACGTATATATGTATGTACGTACGTAGTCCTACCTTTGGCGAGTATGCGATGAGTGTAAATATTCCATGCAGTACGAATAATCTACAAACAAGAAATATGCGGTAAAACAGCATAATCTGTAACTTATACTAAACAAAGCAAATTTATAAAGACAAGTATAATATTGGCCGGAACACCTCACTCCTGAAACTGACTAACGGCAGCACAGTAAGGGGAGCCTTGACGCCAAGTTTACTTGTGAAAGTCATACAAATAAAATAGTCAATCAGGAAATGTAAATTTTATTTATCCGGGAACAACCCAACGCGTGCAAAAGCGAAGAAAAATAGAGAAAATCAGGTGGTTAAAAGTTGCATTATCTGCTTGTGATACTAAATAAAATGATTGGAATGAAGTTTTCTTTTCAGTATAATCTTAAAATTGTACTAGGCTTCCTTATCTACAATTTATATTTAGACAACAAATCAAATAAAATTTTCATATTGTAAAGTCACGGGATATCTAAGGCAGTGATGTAAATTGGATCCGCGCAGTAGGCGCAGCGCACATAGATTTAAATTTGCGCATATATCAGCGCTCTCCGAATATATAAAGCGTGCATTTTTGTTGTGTTTGCGCCAATAAAAATTTTTTGAATTTATAACACTGACGACCATTTGGATCTCGGATCTCGGATCTCTACTTTTTATACACTTTTTAGGATTGTTTTATGAAAACTTGTCAATTAAAGATGTAAAGGTGAGAACTGATTAATTATTATAATTGATTACTAATTAATTATTATGATTAATTATTACAGTATTATAATTGATGACTATAATTAATTATTATGATTAATTATTATAATTGATGACTATAATTGATTATTATAATAGAGTTGGTATGAATCGAGTTTAATGCTATTTTTTACAGTCAATAATCATATTGAGAAGAAATATACTAATAATATGTAAATATACATCACTATCGCTAATGCACTGTTTATTATTTCTTTTTAATAAATGTATATTACATCTTTGTCGTGAAAAATAAGAGGGATGAAATAATAAATGTGCCGAATTAGATAAACCATTCTGTTTATTAATAAATTATTATTATTATTATTAGCACTATCTAGATAAGTTTTTTTTATAAAAATTGCTCCAGGCATTTTTCTTAATCATCGATCTTTTGTTTTTTTGGTTGGTTTTTTTTGTTTGTATAAAAATAATGTCTTTTAGTAACTATTATATATATGTATATTGCTGTGTGGAAGTTTGATGAATAGGCATAGGCTCTATCTTCACAGACGCAAATTCTTCACTGCTTTCACCAATTGTCATAACATTTACACTTGCCTCTTTCTGGGCAAATACTCTCCTTATGCCACCCCCTAATACTGCTATAGCACACAGTGCCAGAATCGAAGAAGCTACAGCTGGGCCAACTACTAGTGGCATTTGTAATTGCGTTCCTGGAAGAGCTGGAGCTGGTTCCGGTGTTGGTACTTGTGTTGGTGTTTGTGTTGATGCTTCTGTTGGTGCTTCTGTTGGTGCTTCTGTTGGTGCTTCTGTTGGTGCTTCTGCTGGTAATTGTGTTGAATCGCCTGTGTCTACTGTGTCTGACGATATGTCACGTTTATAAAGAGAATTTGATAGTACATCTTCTATTACATTTTGATTTATTTGTGACGCTTTAAATTTGTTAAAATTAATGTTAGAAACTTGAAAGTTTATAAAAATTAATTATAAAGTTAATAAATGCACTTACCAAAGGTAATACCAAACGAAGTTGTGTACAAAAGAATTATCATAAAAACCATGAATTTTCTATAAATCATCTTGCTAATAAAAACAATATATTAAATACAGAATGGTTAAAACTGAGCTAGCAATCGATAGTGAAGAAAAAAAAGAAAAAGTGTTTGAGAGCACTTTATAGCGAAAAAGGCCAATTCTATTTCTTTATTTATTATTTTTACACAATTAGATCTTTCAAATTATTTGGTACAACAAATGTTGTCGCTCAATAACAAGATCTGTTAATGTTTCAGGGTATCAAAGTATCAGAGCATTGTGTTTTTGTTGTGAATGCAATGCGAATGTTGTGGAATATCCGCAACCAATTTACTG